ACAAAAAAAAAAAAAAAAAAAAAAAAAAAAAAAAAAAAAAAAAAAAAAAAAAAAAAAAAAAAAAAAAAGAAGGGAGGGGGGGGGGGGGGGGGGGGGGGGGGGGGGGTAAGAAAGTGTGACAGTTTGTGACACGGGGAGGGTATAAAGGTCTTGTGCGACGTCCAACATTTAATTATATTTTTAAAAATACATCTAACAACCTGGAATTGACAGAGATGTTAAGCTAGCTGTTGTGGTGGATGTTTTCTTACAGAAGCTGTCACTTTTAAAAATTGATTAGTGTTAATGGTCAAGTGTGTTTTCGATTAAATATCAATTAGATTTTAATTTGTTTCAAACAAAATTAGTTCGACGTACTTTAGAGATTTGTGACTGGGAGGAGTGAGGGGGGGGGGGGGGAATTGTCCAGAAATAGCGAGACGTACTCAGTGGCGTAGCTATAGAGTTGCGTGGATCCTGGTGTGAGATGTAAAAATTGGCCCCTGAAAATTATATCTTGTTTGCAACTAAAACAATAATACCTGCTCGGTTGAATCCAAGTAGTCATACATAATTTACGTGTAATAATTACCAGAGTTTAAAAAAAAATTTTCCCTTTCTTTTGCTTCTGTAAAACAATGGATGACATTTTGTGTGCCAATTTTCTTCGCCCGATCGTTTTCAATTCACAAAACTACCAAACCGGGTAAGCGTTGTTGTGACATTCTACTTCTTAAATAGTTCTTTATTAATTTTAAAATCGAAAACGATCTGTCAGCACTGGCAACAGTCGCAGGAATTGCTTAAGATAAAATGCAAGCTGTGTAAATATCAGGAAACTTAGACGACAATGTTGGGTACGTTATATTTAACAAAGAAGTAAGTTCACTTATGTTTGTAATTTTCTTAATGTCTGAACCCATACTTCTTCGGAACGATATTATTTGATGAGAAAAAGAGTCGGAAATATCATTTTGATATTTCATCATCAATTCCATAACTTTCTCAAATAAAATTTCTCTTGAAAATGTCTCTAAATTTGACGGAATAAGAACATTAAAAGAACATTAAAAGAATCTAATCAGCTTTCCAAACCAATAAATCTACTTGTGGTAGGCCCCGAGAAACTTCAAGTAAGAAATATTAAAATGACGCCAAAAATTGCACCAACTGACACGTTTTATTTACTGTAAGGGACCGTCCATAAAGTACGTCACGCTATTTTTGACCATTTTTGCCCCCTCCCCCCTGTCACAAACTGTCACAAATCTCGGACCCCCCCTCCCCTAAAGTACATCACACTTTCGAACAATTTTTTTTTAATTAACACCTAATTAAAATTTAATCTAAAACACACTTCACTATTAAACTGTATTAAAATATAAAATTTCCACTTAAAAGAACTACCGGTATCACATTATTAAAATGACTTTAATAGTAGAATACTTAATTGTCAACAGTTATCACAGTTATTCATTGAAGCAGTAACTCAATCTAGATTGAATTTGAAAACAAAAATTGCAAAAATTAGACTAGACAATTATACAATACATATCATTTATCTGCTGCTTTTTCATTTACAAAAGGTGAGGTCAAGTTTTATTAATTTCCGAGTATGCAATCTTTTTACACAGGATAAGAAGTAAATTAGCGAAACTTGACCTCACCCAGTGATTAAATAATAAAAAGGAAACAAAACAATTTGACTAAAAAAAAGACTAGATTGACAAATTATGTGACAAACTCTTGTGCTATATTGAATCTGTTTATTATGGGCCTGTGAAATGTGTTTAATTAAAAAATATTCACTGGACATCATCCATCCATGGTGAAGTGAAGTGTCATCCATAGTTACGACTGGCATCAATCTTTCACCATCATCGTTTCCTGGAAGGGTAATTGCAGACAGATCAACTTCATCATCATCTAGCCACTCAACATCCTCTGAATGTGCATTTTCTCTTCTGGCAATAACTGCCACGAGTTCTCTTTGCCTTCTAGCAGTGATTCTCAAAGGTCTGATGCGTTTTGTTTTATCTGAGTTGATTCTGGAACAGTTTGGGTTGGCACATTCTCCCGAGCCCGAGCTCTGTGTTGTCCTGCATGTTTCTTCGACATTGTTTGTGAGGCAATTTATAAGTGACATACTTTGCAAATTCGATCAAGTAAGTTGGTCTGCAAAGATGGACAATAAAGATCATATAGTTGTACTTTGAAAACTCCTGTTGATCTCGGCAAGGCTATACATAAAACAAGGCTTCGCAACAGCATACTAGCGCTCCTAGCGAGAGGAATCGTGAACAACACATTCAGGAGATACGCATTTCATGCAATTTTGACATAAAACTAATTCAAATGTTTCACAAAATTTTTGAAAATTATTTTTAAAGCTATTAAATTCTACTAAAAAAATAAAAAATAAATTAGAAATAAAATTTAAAAAATATAAATATGTGACGTCACACATGGCCTGACCCCCCTCCCCCCTGTCATTAACTGTCACACTTTCTTACACCCCCCACCCCGGGAGCGTGACGTACTTTATGGACGGCCCCTGTAGATAATAATCATTTAGTAAAGTGCCACCCGGGACAGTAAGCCTAGACCAGTGGTCGGTAAATCGCGGTTGGCGAGACACATGCGGCTCTTTAGTGACCTGAGTGCGGCTCGGCCAGTTGGCCACAAAACTAAACGGTTTTAACTCCGAAAACCATGGGTCTTGACAGGTTCTTGAAAAGAAATTTTAGATCTCAAAAAAATTGTTAATCGCCCTGCTGTTGATGTTTGGCTCTTTTGACTAATGAGTTTTCCGACCACTGGCCTAAACCCCTGGTGGCACCTTCTTCCCATAGATCCTGGTTTCAAAACTTAAAATTATGGTATGTCTAACAACAGAGGCGTACCGTGGGTGGGTTGAGACACGACACGTGCCGTTGGTGCTACTGGAAGGGGCCGCTTAAACGGCGAGCCTGACAAATAATTTTTATACAACAACAAAACAAAGATCGCGTGTGTTTCGCTTTTGAGCTCGTTCCACTATATTGATTACTCCACAATGTTACACACGAATCTGCTTACTCATATGTCCCAGTATACTATATATTAAGAGTATTAATTAAATTATTTTTTTTTAAATAAAAAAGTTTCTGAAGCTTGTTGGGGCACTATATTAGTTCTTGTCGTTGGCGCCATATTATGTCTTATTGGTACGCCTTGAACTTGGGCATCCCATACATATATTATGTACCAATTAACGAACAGGTGAGAGAGAGAGAGAGAAAGAGAGAGAGAGAGAAAGAAAGAGAGAGAGAATGAGAGTGGTAGAGGATTTGATTAAATAGTGGTTAGCTATGCCTTAACCGGGTGCAGGTTTTTTACACCGGGTCCGGGTAATTTGAGAAAGTATTTTCTCAAGAGAATTAGTGACTCTTTGTCACGGGGGGGGGGGGGGGGGGGACCAAATTTTTTTTTTTTTTTAAAAAAAAAAAANAGGTCGAAATTGCTTCAAGTCAACTAAGTACTGTGAAACTCATTCGCGCAGACCTTTTGCGCTTATCGAAAAAATGACGCAAAAACTGTTGGTGCCATTTTACATATTCGGCTCGGGGAGGACTTCGTTGTTTTGCGTTTATGTCACAGTTCTAATAATTATGGGATAATTTTAAGGACTAAAATAAAATCTTAGTTTAGTTATTATGGAAATTTTTTGTATGTTTTGAATTTTTTAGGTGGGACGTGATACTATAAAGGGGGGGGGGGATTTGTAACACTTTGCGACAGGGGAAGGGGGTCTGAAAGGGTCATTTTGTGCTGACGTAATTTACGAACGCCCCTTACCATATAAACTTCGGAAAATTTAAATGAAAAGTTTGTTCCGTTAAAAAAACAAAAGCATTTTTATTAATTTTGATAGGCACCACACCTTTTCTTTTTTGGTAAGTATTGCATGTACGGTTTGTACGGTTACAAGTATCCGCTTCTTTTAGCAATTGGCAATACCATTTTTTTTTTTAAAGATGCTCCTGTATACTTTTTACTCTAAACATTTACCCATTTTCTTTTCAAATAGAATGAAGTCTAGAAGTGAAATTTTAAAATGAACTTTGTTTGCTATGTTCCAATCCTAGAGCCACTTGAGACATGAATGAATGAAATAACTCTCGGAGTTCGTAGTTACAGGAATCGATTACCATATTAAGGTTTGTTTATATTATATTCCACTTCCTGAAAAAACAATAATAAAGATTATGTTGTTATAAATGTTATAGTTATATTTTGTGTTATTATTATAATTAATATTATGTAATGAAAGAATAATTTATATACATTGTTATCTCCAAATGAAGGTAAATTTTTATTTGATAATAGGGCTTAGCGTTAAACATCCAATTTCACAACAACAAAAAATGAGTTCTGACTGCTTTAGTTTTAGTTTTATACTTATTATAATAAATTATACTTAATTTACTTATCTCACTTAGCCTAGGCCAGGCCTATTACTACCGATATAAGTATAAGTTTTATAAGTTAAAGCCCAGGCAAATTAACTAAAATTCTAATTCTGTAAAGTAGGCCTTGTACTTGTAACATGTTAAACCAGGCGCTGCTTATTGTTAAAACAGCTCTGAGTGTGATTGAGAATGGCACAAAATAAATTAAAACATTTGACTTGAATTTGAAAAGGCTGGGGCTATTCCTCAGTTTGAGTTAAGTCCTGGGTCCCTTTAGACTTTAGACTAAATAAATGACTATTCGGATGCCATTTGCGGTAGTTTATTTTAGTTAATCTGAAGAAGTAAGTTAAAAAAACATAAAGCCTATGCAATTATTAATTATCTTTCATTTGATACCAAATTGTGTCTTACAAACCCAACAATAATACTTAATTAATTATTTTTTTAAAAACCCAACCACTCAACTCTTTTTTGCTCTTAGAAATAAGGTCCCTTTAGTCTTTAGACTAAATGGCTATTTGGAAGTCATTTGTGGCGTGGTAGTTTATTTTAGTTAAACTGAAGAATAAGTTTTCATGTGATACCAAACTTTGTCTTACAAATGCAACAATAATATTTCTAATATTTTTTAAAGAAAACCCAACCTCTCACTCCTCCGGGTCCAATAGTATAGCCACTTTGATTTGAAAAAGTAAAAAAAAATTAATCTAGAACTGAGGCCAAGTTTATTATACTTATAATAATTCTATATAACATTAAATTAAAGGTCTTTTCATTCTAAACTTTTTAGATTTTACAAGAAACTACTTCTTCCACAGTTACTTTATCAGAAATTTATAATGAAATAATGTGAAATGCAAAAAATTAAAATTTTTAATATAAAGTTTACATTTTTGCACTGGCACCTTTCCTTAAAATTAAAAAACATTTTAAAAAAATACAGTACATAAATAAATCTCTGTTCAAAATATTTCCTATAATTTACTATCAAATTTCTATTTCAACCACTTTCCTTTCGTAAAAAAATTTCTGGCAAACAATTTTCCATCAAACAAATTTCTTAGGTATGGTTCCCGGTACAAATTTGCAGATGCACTATCTACTAGAGATTTGTAATTGAAGGTCAAACTTAACATTTGAAGAAAAAAAAAAGAATATTACCGGTACCGTATACAAATATAATTATTTTAGAAACCTATTATGATACAAATCAAACTATAACTATAAGAGATTTAGAGTTCATTTAATGGACTATTAGTACTATTTACTCGTGGTATGGGTACCGGTACACTAATAAAATATTAAAATTAAATCTTACAAAATCTTCTTTTTTTTATATTTCAGGAACCCCTTAATCAGGAATGCAAATTTGTTGAGACCATAGTATTGACATGGTAATCAGAATACCAGTATCTGATTTAATTAATTTATTTATGACATAAATATGGAAAATCATCGAAAGTTGTGGAGTCGACTGGTTTCAAGGTTGAGAAGAGGTCGTACAGGTTATCGATGTCAGCAAATATTTCGGCCAAGTTCTAACATTTCTGGTACTGGCTTAATTCATTTAAACAGATCAACTTCAACACCTGTTGTTGAAGGCAACGCCTCACAAACACGTTTTAGAGATGTCATCGGACTTCGAACATCTTTTTATGAGGAAGCACCACATGACCAACTTGTATCACGCAACAATTTGGTGCAGTTTAGGGTCAGACTTGCAGAGCACCATGAAAGTTTTACACCTAAGTGTTTGCAAGGTTTTAATACGCAAAATATATTGTTAGGTCAAGGTACCTTCGAAAATTTCTCTCATAACTGTTGGCTTGAAAATAATCTTCATAGGTTTTGTACATATCCCACAGAATCACTACCAGATGTGATGGAAAATGATTCTCTAGCTTCTGATCATGCACTCCATATTCAAGCGCAGCTTCCTAGAACTTCAGTTCAATCCTTTCTGCAGAACATCCAAGTAACCAACAATAACTTAACAAGTTCTAGTTCAAGTCATTGCAGTAGTCTAGTTTCTTCACAAAGATCTAGTTCTGTTTCAGACATTTCACATTTCTACAATTTGAATCTCACAGAATTTGCCTTTAACCCTGATTCAATGATAGAAGACCCACCACCTTATTCTGAACTTCCAGAAGACCCACCTCCACCTTACACAGAAACCTTACAAATCTCTACATATCCTGGGAGAACACAAAGTGATCATTTGATTTCTGCTAGCACTCAACTGCTCACCGAAGATTGCCTGTACTGATAATGATATAATAGATGCTCAATCCTGAATGCAATAATAAACAATTCAGTTACCTGTAACACTACTGGCATCAATGTTTACAGGTTCCAGCTGTCATAATTCATAAATGCTGCAGTACTCTACACATACAGACTAGTTTAAGGTGAAAAGTGAAAACTATGAAGTTTAGTTTTGCCACAAATTTATTTCAGATCATTTGTATTTGTAAAGTAATCTTATTTAAAAATACAATCTCTACCGTACCCAAAAAAAACAACTAATGTCAATGTGCATCACAATTCACATACATCCCAGGCCCCAGAGCTGAAACAGTCTTTTCTACACACCCCCAAAAACTATGTATCGGTAAACAAAAGGCGGAAGAAAAGACTACCGTATTGATTTAAAATTCATTAATTTTCTTTATTATTTTATTAATCAGTTTTTGTGTGCACGCCAATTTTATTATTTTTTTGAAATGCATGGATTCATGAAACAAATGGTTAAAGCTCTTTCTTACTGATCATAATACTATAACTATCCAAACAAAAATAAATAATGCCACCTCATCAAAGTGTGTCCTGGAAATAGGGCTCCAAAACCAACATTTAACCAACATTTAGCCATTTCTAAACTAAACGGTAAATCAGAACAGACCTAATCATAAAGATGAACAGAATAGTCAGACCCCTACAAATAATACCTGCAGAAAAAAACATAGCATCATATCCAGAGGGTATAGTATAATCCAACTATACACAGAACAGTGGCTGCAGAACGCAAGAGACATGCCAGAATCTGTCTCATGACATTAGCCATCTGCGCACCCAGACAGAACTAGCACAAATCTGATGATTAAACTTTTAAAGTGGTCATGGTCGACTGACGAACAACAATGCTACATGCAGGCTTTTTTTTAACCATACTAAAACTAATAGAATACAGTACAGACCGATCATGTAACAAACTCTACAACCCCTAATCGAGCTATCTTCAGTAATTACCGGTAAGCAGAAGTGACTGCTAATGAAGCAGAATTATACCGCCTATCTGGAATCTTCAGTTTATCAAATTCCAAGCATACCGGTACAAAGAAATGTTAGCTTCTCCGACTACCAAACAGTTGAGCAGCAAGTAAGATCTCACAACAGTATAGTATAAGTTAATTTTTATTTATTCAAATAAATGGAAATGTTTTTTTTTATGACAATGTGATGATTATTTTCAGCATATACGTAAATAATTCTAACAAAGACCAACGTTTTTAAACAAACTATTTAACACAGGACATTCCCAAGTATTTCTCAAGCGTAAAACTCGGCCATCATATGCCATGGAACATCACTCACTTAGTGACAACATTGACCTAAGCTTAATTAAGTAAAGTTTAGTTAAGAATGATCCAGATTTTGTTATCAGTGGAGGGGAACGCTGGTTAAATGTTATTGGTAGATGGGGGAACAAATAATAAACCGTATTTTAATATTTAATTTTATAACTTTCTGTCTTAACTTTCTTTGAGGGAAGAATTTGCCCTGACCAAGCTGATCCTAGGTAGGTACCAGTTTTTGTAAAGAGGGTATGATGTATCCGCCAAAATTTCTTTAGTTTTACAATTTACAAATGCATATTGCTTCAAATGATATTAATTGCTTTCTTACACCAGTATGTAATACTTAAGTTCAGTAGGCTTCCAATTGTTGCACTGCAGAATGTTAATAATTTTTTTGTTATATGTAAATGCCCAAATTGTGTAATTTTTTAAAAAGAAAATGCAAGCTTTTACATTTATACCAATTTCTACTTTAGTCAAGTGTACAGAAAAGTGAGACACCATTTTGAAAGTTGAATACACCAGTACTCATGATAAATTTCAAATCAAGGAGTACCCTTCCGGTACTGCATAGTAATACTTGCTGCATTGCAAATCAACCATCACATGATGTAGGGATGGACATTTTATTAGACATCGGTCATTGGTATGAAACTTTGATATGAGTAGTTGGTTTTGTACTTTCTTTAGCTAATCTAAGCTGTGCGAAAAGCTTGCAATTGTAAAATAAGTACTGGTACATTATTGTGCACATGCATAAGATTATTGTATTTGTTACGGTAGAATAGATTTGAGGGGCTATTTTGACATGAATATGCTCGGGATGCACAATTTTAAAACAGTATGTTACAGGTTCAGGTATGAGGTAGACACCCTCCATTCCAGCTCTCCAACTTATTGTCTTTTATTTCTTTTCGAAGAAAAGGCTTTAATGTACTTTAATCATGGAATGTGTATATATAAACCAGTGTACATAATATAAATGTTTTTTTTTAAATATAAAGTGCATTATGCGTTTAAATTGTAATATTTGTATTAAAGGTATCAATATTTTAATATTAAAACACAAAGTGAACCTAATTTGTTACATTGTTTAACTCAATTCACTGTTCACCATGGTTCTATGAAAATATAACTTAAGTACGGTACAAATGTGTTTCAGACTCTACGGTGATTAATTGCCCATTGCCTTGATAAAAATTCCAGGCTCTTATTTTTTTTAAATTTTGGTCCACATTTACAAGTACTTCAGAAAACAATTTTTGTCTTACATTACATTCTTTTGAAAGTAGATTTCTATAGCCAAACAGCCGAGATTGAGGGCTCAATAAAATTCTCACTGAGATCATGTTAAAATAATTACAAAATGAATCAGGAATGCTCATCCTCAGCATATCACACAAACCACAAAGAAAAAGACCCAACAAAGGTTAAATATTCATTATTTATTACATGTCAAGAAAACAAATTAATATAACAAATTTACAATTACATACAAATATCAACAAGTATACACCATAAAATTATAAAAGAAACCTATTCATGAATGAAAGAATTACAAAATAAATAAATGGGCACCATGATCAAGCAATCTCTCTTCATTCATACCTTTTAAATTCATTTTTTTTCCACTTTCACCAACTCCATTGCTACTTTTTTTTCTTCTTCTCCAGTCCCTCTTTTAAACTAATATTTTGGTATTCATTTTTTTTCCTCTTCAAATTTTTCACATTTATTTTTTTTTCACTTTGATTCCACTTTTTTTTCTACTTTTCCTCTCATTTTTTTTTGGTGGTATTTTGACTTTTTAATATTTTTTCTCTCCTCTTTTTTTTTCTTTTTTTTAAAAAAAAAAAGCAAAGCAGAATCATAGAGCTGCCCATTATTTTTTAACAGTACTCTGTACTGAGCTGGTATATACTTTAAGAGGTTTAGGGAAAAATAAGTAAAATTAAGAGAATATTAGCTTAGCACCTGGTGCACCGATGCAAGCCTGAAAAAAAGAAATGACTCATTAGTTCCTTCAAGGACTGCAGAGCAGTGTCTGAGAATATCAACTAATATGGGGGACAAATGTAATAACCCGTTTCAATTATTAAGCCCAAGCTAAAGATTGTGGAATCAAATTGCAAATTAAGCTTTTGTATATTTACATTTACGGCTAGAAAAATTGCGTTTTTTTTTTTTTTTTTTTTTTTACTTTATTAATTGATCGGAAGTTTTTTTTTTCTTCAAAAACAATTTTAAAAAAGTGAAATTTTTTTTTTTATTTTTTTTTTTTTTTTTTTTAAAATATAATTTTAAATTCTTTTACTAGACTTTTCAAATGCAGTGAAAGTTTCAATAGGGACTGTAATAAGCTGCCCTGCGATACCTCCTGCAAATAGAGTAACAATGACATAAGAGACAAAGAACAAACTTAGTCACCATGTTGAGGGAAGATGGAAACAATTACATAATGCATCACCTCTCCTGATGAAATGAAAGAGGCATGAATTCTGATTCAAAAAGGTATTTCTGTTCAACCTAAGTAGTAAACGTTCTTAAACTACATGAGTCTCAATATTATGTACTTAGTACATACCCGAAGGGTCTACGCCCCCTTGGTGTAAATGCACCAGCATAGTAAGGCGCCATGCCTCGTGCTACACCCCGAGCAACACCTCCTCTTCCCCGAGGTCGTCTATTTGTAGAACTAATACCAGGCCGATTTGTTCTTTTGGGCACAACCTAAATAAAAAATGTATTAATTTTTTTTACATCTATATATGGTAGATACTTCGATGAAACAAGGGAGACTACTACTTTTTGTGTATCGGAAATAGAAATCGGCGGCGAAAAATCCGAGTTTTTAATTTTCCGATGTGTGTCTCTATTTATTATTAAATTAGTACTTTCGATATATATTTGAGTTCCGTTTTCGGCCTTATAATTAGGTAGACATCTTGGCCTACACTTTAATCAATTTCTTTTTCATTTACAATCAGTCAGCTTTGAGAAAATCTTTGGTAAATATAAGGCATCTTTCATCATTAAAATTAAGTTGAAGGAAAAAATTTGTCGAGAGACGCTATGTTTCTATGCGTTCGCAGCAGGTCATGCAGCTCGCTCAACCTAATTTCGCCATGGGGGTGGGCCACGCCCCCTTTTTAATGGCGGAAGTTGCAGGAAATATTAATTTATTACCACTATTTACATCAAAATAATTGATAACTTGTGTTTCAGAATGCAATTTGAAGACATTTAAACTGGAATGTTTGAATTTGAGCTTTAACAACCCGGTAGAATCCATATTATAAATGATCAGAATTTACCGTGTGCAACACCTCATTGGCAACCATTCACAGCCACTTGCATAATGGCTGTATCGTAGTACTACCTCAGAGTTTCATTCATAAGAGTTTGCCGTGTGCAAAAACTACTATACCATTGGTCAGGGAAAGCTTTAATTAATTATTCATGTGCCAAAGTTGAAAGTTTAAACTAAGTCGACCCTAAACAGTATTTTAGTGATAAGGCGATGCGTTGCCTTATATAAAGTATATAGTCATTGCGCATGACGCGATCAGCGGAATGAGGTCACAAGATGTGGAGGTTTCGTCCATAGTAAAAAATACCAAACGAACTCACACTTTAAAAATTCATAGCCCAAAAAGTGCTTCAGCTAAAAAGTTGATTCTGGTTTCATTTTTTTTATTTGAAATTTGCTCTAAATGTGTTATTAAAAAAATTATTTCAATTTTTTTTAAATTTTGTATTCATTCAAGTGCCTAATATATGGTATTTTGAAAACATATGTTAAGATGACATTGATATATTTTTACAATCACCATTACTAGTAGTTATTGTACACATTGCGCAAACGAAGAGTGAGTTTTTAAAAAGATTGAGTGCAAGAGTAACAAGAACATAATGAAATTACACTAGAGTCCTTAAATACAAATGCCAGCATGGCCATGTATCTCACACCATGATCAAAACCATCATTTCTTAGATACCAGTGAAAGAAATAATTATATACTAACTGCATAAATCCCAGAACTTTATAAAAGATTTCCCCCAAAAATCCAGTTAAGAATATGTGCTGCTAAAAATTGCAGAATTAAATCCAACTGTGATGAATTTGTCTATTTCTATCAAACAATGATTACTATAAGACAAGACTGGTAAAAAGATGAGTATCAGTAATATAGAGAATAAAGGCCATAAAATGATGCATATTTTCTGAAGGTCCAGGGATGATGGGGAAGGCAAGGGTTTATGGGAGAGGAGACGTGAGATCAGCTAGTAACCCTTGTGAAAGCTTTATCCAAAATGAGCTTTGATAGATGCAGAGCTTATTTCACGTGTGAAGGTCTTATTTGCATTTATATAAACAATAAATTTCAGCCTCAAAAAGTATTAACTCATTCCCGGCGGTTGTGACTAAATGCGTCCTTCAGAAGTTTTGACGGATGCCTCCATATGAGTCCAAGTGCATAGAGACACATCTCTCTCATTTTTATTTAAAAATAGCAATGAAATCTTGCATCCCTCGCTTGAGATATTATACAAATATCCTGGTCACCTCATAAGCCAACAACCCCACTAATTAACCTGAAATATTTAGTCTTAAGATTTTAAATCAATTTAAAAAAAAAACAATACCAGTTTAAATTGCCTCTCAACAAGCAATGGATTCTTTACAAACTTACTTTAATTTGTCGTCCTCTAAAAAGTGATTCATCAAGAGCCATTGCTGTTATTACAGAATCTTTGTCAGCAAATTCAATATATGCAAACCTGTTAAAGAAAGATTTAAATAATGAATTACAATAATTAATAATAAATAAAACATTCAACTATGACAGACAGACTGGACTTACAAGACAAGAGACCTTACAACATTTCCAGGTATGTGTGTGGATTAATATTTCTACCTTTCCAGTATTATTATTGTTAATATATTTTTAATTTTTGTATATTTGTTTTTTTCATTTTTTATATCAACACATAGTAGAATTAAATGATTATTGTTAATATCACTAGCTTTGGTATCTCTTTGTAATATGGTTTTTCAGTTGTTAGGTATTTCTAATCTAACAGTCAAATCTTGAAACATTAAATTTGTAAAACCATATAGCAGTATTAACACCACCTCTTACCAGCCAAACTGTCTCTTCATGCTTGCACTGACACAATTCCAATAATAAATTAAATCCTTTTCAACCCCATGCTTTACCAAAGTAATCTTACTTAAAGTCGCGCCCCCCCCCCCCGCCCCCCCATTAAAACTGCATGCTCTCTCTTCAAAACTACTACTGATACCCAGTGGTTAATAGTACAGACAGGTAAGAAAAAAACAACCATTCGGTTGTGTGTCCATCTCCCTTTCCCACCAAATACAACTTTTTTGATTTCGTGGCACTTAGGAAACTGGTCAAGAGCCGCAAGGGATGAAAGCAACGATTAGATCAAGATCAGTTACAAAGTTGTAATCAATGTTATGTCATGAGTCTAACATGCAAAAATCATCATTTCTTGATCTATCCTTTCATTTTGCTGGGCATACTTGTTGATCTGCATTTTTGTTAATTACAGATCTATGAAGCCCAGAAGTACTCAAAAATGGGTGCCTGGAACTTCACATTTTCAACTTAAGAGGGTGAATTAATAATTTATATACTGCTTTTGTTTCTAAATTAGTTAAATTAGTATTAGTATGTCCTTATTCTTTTAATCCACTCCTGCCTAACCCACTTCACTCTTTTCCAGATAGAGGCTACCGTGCCAAGAAGATGGAGCGTTTTTTTTACAAGTTCTTATTAAGAATAACCTTTTAATTATAATGTTATGATGTTTACTATCAAAGTATTTTCAAAATTTTACCCACAATCAATATAGCTTGCTAGTATTATTATTTACTAATTTTTATAGTTTGTTTTTTATTTCAGATATATCTTTAACAACAACATTATCACTATTTCTTTCTATATTAATTTCAATAACTTTAACATCAATCTGTTCGATCGTTTAAAAAATAGTGCTTATGGCAGTAGAGTGTTAAATAAAATCATTTTGCAAACTTTCAATA